AGTCCAACTGTGCATACATACTATTTCAAGTATAAGTATAAGAAGTGACAACAAGAACGCCACTGCTGTCGGTTCGCCGCCATATTCTTCAATATCTCCAACCAACCGGTTGTGGATCCTTTCGGACCCCAACCTGGAAGGCAAGAGACACCTACTCTATTTAATGACTGCGCATTTCTTCATGCCTCGTCTCCACGTCATCTGTTGGCCTCCACGTGATTTCCTCTAGCCCGGAACGGCTATGGTGAATAAGGCGCGATGTGGTAGACAGTAGCTGGGCATGCGCAGTACGTGCGCTAGCCAGTGAAATCTACTAATCTGAGTTCGATGTGCTAGCAGGTTTATGTCTGACAGACTTCCAAACACAACGGCTTACCTCCAAGTTACTAACCCGTTCACATCATCCAACGTGGGCTAAACTACGTAAACAGCGATAATCGAAAACCTCTAGTCGATGGGTACCTTCTACTCGCAAATTGAAGGTCTCAATCACAAAGCAGAACTGAACGAACGCTAGCACAATATGCACGTTTTATAATATATCAAATAAAGGATGAGAGGAAGAATAGACTCGGAAAGAAAGGAGGATGAATAAATTAGATGGTGATGATATAAATGTGATAATCATTGTGTGATTGTATCTGTCTGGGTGAGAGTGAATGAGTAAATAAATGGACGGGAATTGTGCCACCAGTGAACGAGCATGGAAGGCCTAGTGTTTTGCAAACTGTTTCCTGGAGACAGATTTCCATCGTCTTGCCTGGTGATGGGCGGAATTTGAGATTCGACCCGGTTGAGTGGCCTTCATTTAAACAGAAATACAGATCAGAAAGTCTCGATCATATCGACTGTGTGATTAGGTGGTTAGTAACTCCCATCGCCTCGGTCCTTATTAAATCGGAGTGACGATCTGTCTGATCAGCGTATTAGTGCATTATTACAACTAGTTGAATTCAGGATTGAAAAGGACCGGACCGGCGCCAGTTACCAAACATCTGACAATCCAACCACCTATCCTTTCTCACTTCAACCATTGTATGTTTACTCTACCGCAAATCGTGTCATATTTAACCAATCTACGAAGTGCCGAAAGTGAGTTCGTTTGTTAAATTGTGCTCTTAATTATGTTACCGCAGGAGGATAATCTTTAACAAAACGCCGAGGTGTCAGATACCAGACCAGCTTTCGTAATGTCCATGCAAGTGAGAAGGGAAAGAGGTTTCCGTTGAGACAACGACGTACTAGTAAAAGAATAAACGTCACAAAAAGCAACTGATCGACCAAACTTGTCTATCGCAGGTTGAGTCAATGTGTACTCGAGTGTGTGGGGTATCACATTATTAGAACACGATGACCACATTTTCTCTTAGAAAATTCTCATGTGTTGTTCCCATTAGCGTCTTTTTGCATAGTTTGTGTGCGAAGTCCATCTCTGAATCCGAATTGGCTGGTAACACCGTTATAACTCCACAAGGCGGTGCCTAGTCGAGGATAGTTGTTTATTGTAGATTACAAATGGGATATCACTTATTTGGCATACATAACACAGAAATATCATCTGAAACATACCATCGCAGTTCCTGACAGCCTATCGGGCAATGAATATAGCAATTGATAGTGATCCTTTGAGACCCAGCAATTTGCTCTCGGTGGTCTTGTTAATTTTTGGTCGCCAAAGGAAATCCCCAAATATTTTGCATACAGTGGTATGCGAATGCGAGTAGTACCTCACGACAACACGAAGTCACTGTAAATGCACATATATTGGTAAATTAAATAAAACTGTTGAAGTGTATGGAGACAAAGGAATCGCTGGTAGGACAAGGAACTGAACGAACGACTGCAGAGAACCAATTCGTCCACAAGAAGCTGAGCTTGATATCGAAGTGGTGGGTACCACCGAAGGAATTCTAGACGTCCGATTGGTCGCGGTCAATAACAGTCCTGTGCATCCTCAAGTGAACTGATTGAATGATTCCCCCTCATACCCTTTAGTCGCTCATCGGTCCGGTGATCTAAGACTCTATCATTATCTACCATCTATGAACGATATCCCTGAGCTGAGCGATCGGTGTCCAATATTAATTAGACGAATCGCTGGTGTCAAAATCAAACTTTTATTATAGTAATTACTTACAAGTTCATGTTTCTCTTGTCCCGTTAGATATTTCCACATTCGGTCGATCATTGATGAAGATGGGGAAAAGTTGGGACCCAAGTACAGACCCGTGCAAAACTCCGCAGTAAACGTTGATAGAACCGGAAGGTGAATCAGAAACGCGAACTAATATGGGCCCTTGTCAATCTAATCAAACGAGAGACTTCAGGATGTCATACTTGAGAAGCTTTTGGCAGTTCATTCGATTGAATGCTTTCAAAAAGTCCAAGTAGATTATATCTATCGCGTTCCCTTCAATCCAGACAAGAAGCAATTCCGCTTATGGCTCTCAAAAAAATCTTGTCTTTCTCCGTGTGTTATCAGTGAGCCTGCCAGAGTGAACCCCACGACTTTGGGTACAACACGGAGTGTTGCAGATCGGCAGTTAGCAGAGTCACCACGATAACCACCTTTGATGGAAAGTGAAATCACGGCTTGTTTCTACAGTTGCAATAGTGCTTTGTGATTCAACATCCGTGTCGAACCGGCACAAAACCCACAATAAGGTGTTCCATCACTGTGAGTCTCACGTTTTGGATTCCATGTGTTATCTCCATCTTCGAGCCCAATCATCTTATATATCAGTTGTGAGGTGTTACTCACACTCATGATTAGTACGTTTCGAATGCGTTAAAGGTTGATTGGCAAGTTCTTACAACGGTCAAAAAGGAACAAAACCTCCTGGAGAATGAATCAATGTGTTCAAAATTGTATGTATACAAAATGCATATACCGTCAGACTATTCCATCCGGTGTGCTTGTCGAAAATATGATTCAATGAATTACTCCACCTCTGTATTCCATACATGCATGTTTGACTAACCCTTTGACAGCAGAAACTAGTAAATTTAGTAAGCGGCATCACCTTCAGATGGTCCATCGCTTTGGAAGCATTAAGCAAAACAGACAAAAGTTGTCAAACTCTGACTCTGCCCTTCGTTAATCGCTCCCGATTTCTCGATGTTGGTTGAGGTTTTTACGGCGCGAGGTTCATTAAACACACATGTGTGAAATGAAGAGATGGAGTTAGTCATTGAATCATAAATTGATGAACCCGTCATTTCCTGCAATTAGGATTGGTCTGTCCCAGATGAGATACTTCGATTAGTGTCACCCATTTTAACCATCCTTGAATCCTTGTTCCGCATAAGTGATTTGCCTCAGCCCGGCACTGTCTTCTGGAACGGCGGCACTTGAGTGACATAGATTGCCCGATTATGATCCCGTAAATTGTGAGTTTGAACCCCGTAATCGGTTGAGTAACCTTCAAACAACTGTGGTATTGGTCCTGAAAACTGTCTTCATCGAAAGACAAGTAAAACGGAAATACGTAGATTAACATTATTATTACACCTAACGTCATGAATATATCCCATACTAAGATACCAATAGCATAGGCAGAGTACCGCGTCACGTCATAGTGAGATCCGCCGAAGGCGAGAAGTCTCCCTGTTACATTTCACTGCTTTCTCTCAACTGAGTCATTCGGGTGAATCCACAAAGCAGCTTGGTAGTTATTGTTTAGCTGTGTGAAAATTAACCGTTACCAGCGGATAGACAAGGTGATTAAAAAACGTTTCCTCAGACCACAAGCGGGACGGCACATTTTGCGCGCATCACCAGTGCTTCGGTTCTGAGAGAACCTCTGTAAAACGCAAACCGGCATTCACTTGGACACTGATAGTCCACGATCGCCTACGCGATGAGGCTGTCTATCCAAGATAGTGGATCCCTGAGGGCACGTGTATGCGACCTGTGCGAACGCAACCATTAAAACCGAACAAGGTCTCCAAATGACAGGAAAACACGCGCGACTGAGAGCTGGGTTTCGCTGTGTCCAGACTCTGATGAGAGTGGGAAAAGTGATTGAATGAGCTAGAGACATAACAAACACCACGGGAACTACGGAGGCGTTATTCAATCCAGAAAAACAAGACCCAATGACCAAATCCATGTCACAAAACATCCATATTTGGGAAACACAGAAAAAGGCAGACAGTATGAAGAGAAGGGAGGATGAAGTAAAGAGGATACGGTGCGAGCAGCACGGCCGAAACAACGGGGTAGGCATACATGGATCGACGAACTATCCGAATTGTATCGATCGAAATGAAATAAAAGTTTAGCACATGGGGTGGGAGGAAGTGTCCTGCTTGAAATCGGGAATGAGGCGGCAAAAAAACGGGTTAGCAAAATAACAGTGATCAACGAAAGAGGATGGAAGTTTGTGGAATTCACTGCTTCTGTTTTTCGCTCAAGGCGTAATTTGAGGGAACAGCGCGGGAGGACTGAATCATTGGGGTATCAAGTCCAGTGTGTAAACGCATGTATGACAGGAGTGAGACGGGGAACGGAGAAGACTCGTGAAGCAAAACCAACAAGAGGTAAACAGATGATTGTGTTAGTGAACCAATGGAGAGACCAATTTATAAGTGGGGATGCCATATGAAATCACCCCCAGTGAACAAATCGTGCTTTATTACAGAGTGAAACGTTAAAGGATGAGCAAAAAAGGTTACTCTGAGTGTTGGAGTTTGTGAAAGGAGTGAATGTGCCGTCCGGTATTCCATTTGACTTGAAGAAGTCAGATTGATAGAAAGATGCGCGGAGAGAGAACCGACGCGGCACAAGGTCAACAGAAAGTGGATGTCTGCATGTGTGAGCGAACATCGCCTAGCATACTATACAGGTCCAAACGAGGCCACGAAATTCCAACGGGTTAGGAATCTGACGTACGTTCCCACAGATACACACGCACCCCTAGGCTAGCACAGATCTGTGCATGCTACTGAGTTCGAGTGATGTTGGAAGTCATTAAGTTTGCGCAAGTGCTGATCCCTGATCAACTTTCTTCAAGCCCAGCAAACCGATTGGTCTGGACCAGTTCGAATTCCGGTTTCTCGCGACCTGATTCCCTGGAAATTGGAAGTGAAAAAAAACAGTAAATTCAGTAATTGAACGTGTAAGTTGAAATTGTGATGTCTAATTTGTAGAAATAGCTCACGTTTCGGCTAACCTATCCAGCGACGCAGTTCGTGCTTCCAGGTGATTTAGATTCCAAGGGGAGCGAGGGAAATCCCTGTAAGTGCGCGTTCATATCGGTTAGTTGAAAGTAAATATCCCCATATTGTGGGAAACCAGCGCAATACATTAGGAACGCCGTTATTATGTCGCCGTTGCGGCAGCACGAATCCTCCATAGCTCATCAGGATCCACAAACACAAGGGCCTGTGTACTGTACCCATGCGGTCCGGGTGTTAGCCAACAGGCATGTTTCAGTTTCAGTTTTTACAACCATTAACTATGCACTTTCATGCATGTTTTTGGTTGCTGTCTTTTGGTGAACCATTAGGATAAAAGAGCAGAATGAAGATTGGAATGTGGAAAGCAAATTCAAGCGGAAGATGGAGAATTCATACAAAATAGTGTTAGGGGAATAATGAGTGGATGCACGAGCGCCACTGTTTGCGAAATCCAACCATATCACTCAGTGTCTCTAACCATAGGTGACCATCATCTCGAGGTCCCCAGCCAGGGAGCTTAACGTGGCCTATGTGACCTAGTCTCCTGGTTAGGGTTTTCATACCCTCATGCCAGATCCTAGTTTGACCGCCCTTGATCTTTTTCCAACCGCTACCATCCTTGGCAAACATTACTCGCCGCAGCAACCTATCTGGTGAAATGTGTAACAGGTATGTAGGCCAAAGGAAAGAGTTCCGGATCCCCGGGACGGGCACAAAAATGGCACGCATTGCTGCCGAATTACGACGGGGACGAAACTGCAAACCGGTGCACTTTGTCGGTCATCGCATAGAATACTATTGGGTATCAAGGGAGTGAAAAGTCTACAGGGCTACATACATACAGCGAGGTGCGGTGGTTTTGTTTTAGGGAGCAATATCAATTGCCCCAGGTTCTCTCCATCTTTTTGAACTTTCCTGCACATCACTTCTTGCGGTCATTCTTCAGACTCTTGATGAGCTGGCGTTTAAAGGATTTGTTAGCTCCGACAAATTTGGTATCATGAGAAATAGTTCGGTGGGTGTCCAGCAAGGCGACCGAAGTTGATGATATCCATCGTTTGTGCTTTAATCGCGCGCGAGAATCCGCCATGGTTTTGATTGGCATTTGGATGGCATCCTTGATTTGTTTCCAGTGTTCATTTAGTCCTTCGACTGGTAGTTGAACTGATAAACGATCAGAGAGCTCTTATTCGAAGACCGATTTGCTACCATCGCTGGCATTGGATCGTGGGTATTCGATGCAGGTGGTGTTATTGCAGTTGTTTGCCAGGCATGCGGAGAATTTGGCCCGTAACATATCGTGGTCCGTATCCACAAGTATTGAACAGTGAGAGCAGCAGTCATAAATTGGCCCTGTCCGGCGGTAACTGATGGCGATGTGGTCGATTTGGGTCCAGCGATGTGAAGAGGTCGGGAGTCTCCATGTAAGGCGGTGTCGTTTCTTGTGAGAGAAGTTGGTGCTTGATAAGAAAAAACCGTGGTCAGTGCAAAATTGAAAAAGACTATCTCTGTTGTTTGCCTGTGCTTTTGGGGATAGCACATAGACCGCCAAGAAGCCTTTCTACTTCGCCCAGGGATTCTACTTGAATAACGAAGTCTCCGGCGACTACTACGACGTCCGTTGATCGAACATACTTGAATTATTGTGAAAGATTCATTTAGAATCCATCCTTGATTTCAGGTATATTGCTATCAGTCGGTGCATACACCGACAAAAAGAATAAGCATCGACGCTTCGTTTTGTACCCATTGATCCGTACTGACCCGTTGGGACGCATAGGGCACAGTCGACCACTAACCGGAATCCAGCCAAGAAGCGAGCGCTCAGTCTCGGTAGTTAGCGCAATCTCAACACAAGCAACACCGCGAGCTTTGGATGTCAAATCGCCTGACACATGGATGTTGAAGCCTAAGGATGAGGTTGAGTCAGGAGAGGGCAGGGAGATCGTTGAAGTAGGGCATTGTGTGCGTGTTTCGGAGCATCATTTTTCTAAATTGAACGTTTCAAGGGTTCTAGCTAAGTTGGTTTGTTGAACGACCTGACTGTGTGCTAACGTTGAGCGTTGCTAGGTGAAAAGTGGATTTCTGCTCCAAAAATCCTATAACTTCTGATGGTTTGGCCTTACTGGTAAAACACTGAATGACATCCCACAGACTGCGTAAACAGGAGGCATCTGGAGTTACTAGGGATTGAGGGGAAGAACTAGATGGATGGGGGGGGTTTCCAAGTGGATGCTTAGGATTTTAGGGCACGACATTATTTGCCGTAGCCCACAGCGACGAAGAAGTTTTAGTTTGGGAATCCTAACCGGAACCTTTCACTAAAAAGTCTGACCCACAAGGCAGTGTGGCGTAGATCCAAGACGGGAAAGTGAACGAAGCGCTTGGGTGGGAGCTCTGGGAGACCTGCCATACAAGGCCTTCGGGTTTCGATTCAATATATTGTTCGCTGGTGCGTTGACTGTCGGTCCGCTGTTCGGGATTGGTCTTTAGTCTTATGCACCCAATGACACAACCGGAACGTGGACGGGACAGCACCTTATTGGCTGAGGGAAGCCCAGCTCAGACAGGCGGTAGCTGTCCAAAGACATGCGAAGACTTCTCCCACTGCCAAGAGGAAGCTTCAGGTACCCCGCTCCTACGTCCATCTAACGGGGTTGGTTTGACCGGTAAACTGCCCGCACCGTGTTTATTTGCTGAAGTGTCCTCTCCAGGGGCGGGTGTGGATAGACGAAAGAAGCTAGGAGATGCCCAATCTGCTGACCTTGTGAGACTGAGCTTTGTCTGGCCTCTCTACCTACTGACTTTTCAAGCATGATTGGATCTGCGGACTGGCAAAAGCCATTCTGTGCAGTTCGCAGGGTCCTGGAATCACGCAAGCTATCATACCAAGTCTCGTCGTGATGATAAGTGATAATCACAAAACTTAGGGTATCGGAAACGTTAGGAATTCGGTATCCACGATAGATCTGGGAATTTTGAGTAGCTGGGCTAACCACTTAACGAATCACCAACAGGGCAACACTGTTACGCTACCGAGGAGCACGTTACAGCTTTTACAACAAAGACGCTTCTAAGTGATCAAGCAGGTAGTAAGAACTCCAGAAACAAAACTCCCTCCAACTGCTTTTAATAATAATAATAATAACAATAATATGTATATGTATATAGAATGTGATATTAGCTATACAGTTCTATAGAAAAAACGGATTAGTTAACACTTACTTGAAAGTTTTTACATTCACATTACGAGCCCAGCCGGAATTGGTTCCAGTCGAGTAATTAGCAGGTGTGTATGACGGGCGGGAAGGAGAGGGAACCTTGGTACTGAATGGTGATCCACCGGACGGACCAGTAGCAAGAGTCTTTGACGAATCTATTGTGGCACCACGAGACCATCCGTCAAAATTTGTGCTCAAGGTTTCTCTGGCTGGAACTCCTTCTGATCGAAGTCCACTCCCGAGACCTTCTGGTCGATTGGTCATACTTTCCCGAGGACGTGAACTACGAAACTCCTGGCGCGATTCGAATCGTGTTGAGGGTGCTGGTGCGGTTGGGAAAGAACCGCCAGATCGCAGTGCCGGAGGCACGTACACGGATGGATTAGTATTGACAGCTATTGGAAGTACATTCTGTGCGCGAGCCGGCCGCTGTGATGCTCCGGCTTGGGACCAGCCAGCGTTATCATCGTCCTCGTGAGGAGGACTCGCGGGAGTTTTATTCTTTCCGGCTGGCTCTGTGGTGCATGCGGCATCCAGTGTAGGAAAATCAGTTGCGCTGCTTACGTTCGGCTTTGGAGCCAGTGAACTGGAGGCACCTCCCGGACGTAGATAGACAGGAATGTACTTCTTGGGAGGCTCCGGTTCTGGCGGAGGCTGTGGCTTCTCCTCCTCCTCTGGTTCTTCTAAACACAGTGAATGGAAAAATAAGCAATTTTCAGGTTTCTATGTACTATCACCAATATTACGGTGGAGAGAGACAGCGTTTGTCACAAGTAACAAAAAAAACAAGCGAAAGAAGTATTTACCATAGAAAATCATCAAATCACCCATCAAACATCAGATTTCCGATGATGCAAACTTATCACCAGAGAGCAACAAACCAATGGTAATCAATTTCGGAAACATCCCCTTTGATCCATTTGAATAAAACAAGTAACCGTTACCTTGATTCTGCGTCTGTTCAAATTCATTTCTGGTTGTATCTATTTCGCATTACGTAACCGTTTTCAACTCTTTCCACCGCAATCCAACGTTTTTCATTATGTAACGGTTTCTATGCTAGCATGCTCTTTTTCTGAATCTCTGTAATTGTAATTACAATTATTCAATTGGTAATCAATTGCCGATTTAAAATAAGGTTTGATGGGTAACCAACTGTTTCATAAACCTGTTAGTGGATACACCACAGAAATGAGTTGATTGCATGGACAGCTGTGTCCATACAAAAAGGTTACATTAATTAGGACCAAGTTGTTGTAGTGTTTCGAAAATTAACGGAGACTCGGTTTTTCCTCACACACTCTTTGGGTAGACGGGGTAAACACCATAATCACCAGGACCTGTTGTACCCTCATGAAAACTAGCAACCTAAGCCACGGAACTTAGGGAAGCTAGCTAACCACAGGCGGATAAATTTCCAGGCGCGACGGACATGAATTATCATCCTGGTTTATACATATTTTTGATTGCACTTTGATGCATGAAGATAAGTGTTAACCTCATGGATATCTTAGATCGCTGTTTCACGCTTGTCGATTTGCGCCTAGGTCCACACTGAACAACACTTCATTTCTATTCGCCTGATTGCTCCAAGACTGTGTTCACCGATGTCTTTTTTATTTATTCTTTTCAGTTTTAATTCCTCTTATTGAATATACAATGATAACATTTTCAGGAAGGGTGAAGTGACCAATAAAAGAGCTGTCATACAACACACATCACTGACGGTGCAAACCTGGAAATGGCTTTGACAAGATGCACCGTTTTCAAATGGTGTTTGCAGTTCGTCGTCGGTGTCACAACAGAAAATAAGACAATTCCTCGAGGTCTTTGAACTCCTTGGAAACTGGTTGTGGGCACAGTAGCTTCGGGCTGCATCGCAACAATTAAAAATTTCAATCTCCACATACCATAAGAGCGTAATGATCAAGTTTCTAGGTCGCTTGTGAGAACGGAAGGAAACTCGAAGAACTCATTCATCGGTGCCTACATCAAGCCTAATCCGGACCCATAGAGTCTTGCGCTGTAGTATAAAGCATCCACATAGCCTATGGAACTGTTAATTTCGTTAATCTTGGGTCTGGCCGTCAAGATATTCGAATGTTTGTATCTCTTCTATTGGTTCAACAATCTGGTTGAGGTACACCGAACCGGTTGGATGATTTTGAAGATATCCCCGAGGAAAGTGATGTCATTTGCCAATGTCAGATCCAAAATCCATTTCAAAACTGAGTAGTAGTCCACGCTCGTTGAGTGCATATAGCATGACCGAATGGATTGCATAATTGAAAAGCATTGATATAAGTGGATGACTTCGACGGACTCCGGATTTCGGGCAAAATCCTGTTGACTATCCGCCATAGTCGCGGACAACAGCTTGATTTCCTAAGAGTATGCATTTTAATATTTTGAGATTCTCGACCATAATACTCCACAAAGCACGTTCGATGGATTGAATAGGACGCTACACAGAAACCAATGAAGCCGCTGATGGAACACAATATTCCGAAATTCGGCGAAAAGTGAAAACTTGTCCGACATTTCCACGGCGATAAATACCTTGGTTGGAGACGAGTACAAATATTTTCAACGAATGTGAGGCGGAATACGTCTGGTAAAGTCTGTGCCTTCCGTAGTTTTCGCATTTTGTTTTAATTTAGTTAGTAGAGGTAAGGACACAATCGTGGTGGTCTGACTCTAAGATGGGAGCTGGTGGATAATTGTATAGTAGACAAGCTTTGCAAATAATCATAGTCCGACGAAATACTCTGAGACGAACTTCACCCGTCCATATTGTAAGTCTCCGAATTATTCGGAGAAGAAAGGCTAGTAGGTTGTTCTGATGACCGATAGAGTAACTTATCAGATTGCTATACACAACTTGGCTTGATTTCGTTCGAGCGAATTATTTGTCCATTTATCACGAGGAGCCTATTTCGGTGGCAGTCTGGGGCTCTATAAAGGGCAGTGAAGAGCTCGCCGTACTCAGACTTCTTCCATGCTAACTGTTATTTCCGTTCAGTCTCAGCAGTGATCCTTTCACGCATAACGAGTGACTTCATCAGGAAGTTCCCTAAGCGAGCCTCTGGTCTTGGGGGGGGGGGGACAAGAGTAGAATGTACCCGCATAGCCCACCTTCGCTAGATCTGGAAGTTTGTCCCAAGCAGGTCAGACAAAGCTCTCCAATTGGTACTTTCAAGCTTGTCCATTGTGCGTTTCCTCTCACCTCGGGATTACTGATGGAAGCCAGATTGACAACAACGATCTCTGGTAAGGTACTTATTTTTTGTGTATATTAGGTTCAGAGGTGTAACGTCGAATCTGAGATGGGGTCACTTCTTCCACTCGCACAGGGGTATGATCAGATTATGTTTCTGCATCGGGATAGTTTACAACCAAGAACGCACAAATATGAAATCGATTTGATGTTGTATGTCCATTGTTTGAGTACTACGTTAGTGCGCTTTTGGGGATACTGAAACCTGCTGCCGATCACTAGTCAGTTGAGATCGCAAACGGGACTGGAAGTTCGCCTCTGAAACATCACCTGAGAGATAGAACCTTCGTAGAACATGATAGGTGTGGTCACTTGATGGTCTAGTGTGTGTATTCCGATCGCCTGCGATTATCACTGTTTCATTCGAGGCTACGCCACGGGCTGAAGAAAAAATTACCTGTAACAGTGGGGTGTCAACTGCCAGATCTGGCGCGTAAATAGATTCCACAGTTAGGTTTAGAGAAGCTTCCCTGAAACAAGCCACAGATATTCGAGAACAACCTGGATTCCATGAGATTAAATGTGGATTGGCTTCATTATTCACAGCGATCGCTAATCCTTCATGGGATGGTTACAGTTGCCGTTAGACTGCTATGTTTGAGCTCGCCTGAGATACTTTAATTGTTCTATTGATCAAGTTTGGTAAATGCACTTCCTGTAGTCAATCAATATTTACTCTGTAGTCGTGAAATGAGTACATGGCAGTGCATCGATTTCTGGCGTCTGGTAGAGTTCGGACGTTCCTGCATGCGCTGTGCCCACTAATTTTGATTCGAAAGTTCCCAGCTGGCTGATTGGGCGCCCCAGTAGCCGGAATAGTATCGTGTGTCAATTCTCTTTTTTACTTTTGATCGACTAACTCCTGAGGGAGGATAAGTCGGCTTCCTGGATGTCTCTAATGATGGTGGCCCATGCATGATGATCGGTAGCAAGGTTGCCGCAATGTGAAACCCAGTTCTGGTTCCAGTTACGAATTCCATATACGGATTGGAGGCCCAGTAATTCCAAATCCGCCTTGATCGTACTGCTCCAGGTCTTCGGCTGACTATCGCGTCGGCAACGCCATCCACGGCACGGTGAGGGAGCTGCAGCCTGTCGCGAGAGTCAAGTGTTGGGCCTTCGGAGCACATGGCCAAGTCACTGAAGGCGCCGGCGTTGTAGCATTTTTGAAAGCTTGTCAATGTTCAGGCAACGCCGTTGAACCTTATCGTTGGAAATCTGATGTCTCCAATTTACTTTCAAGATGCGGCGCAAGCACCAATAATCAAAAACTTCGAGCTTCCTTGTATCTTGCACTCTTAGAAGACAGGTTTCACAACCATAAATGAGGATGGGACGGATGGAAGTCTGATAAATCTGAAGCTTAGTGTTTAAGCTTATTTCCCATTGATTCCACAACGATTTGAGAAGTTGTAGGAAGGCTCTTCTAGCTCCATCTCCACGGAGTTGGATTCCATTCTTAGCCTGACCGTTTGATCTTATCGTAGAGCCAAGATACTTGATTGGGTTGATTCTACAGGATCCCCGTTAATCGAGAGGGGTTCTGTCATGGTAGAAGTTTCGGTCGAAAATGTCATCGTTTTTGGTGAGTTGATCTCTAGCCCAATGGACTAGGTAAACTGTTTTATACGATTGGCAACAGGCTGAAGGTTGTCCATGCTGTCTCCAAGTACGACATCATCCGCAAACTCGAGGTCCGCAATCCATGTACCTGGGCCAAGCTGCACTCCGGGGTAGTCGATGAGCGCTTGTTGCATTATCCAATCTACGATGTAATTGAATAACATTGGCGATAGGGGACAACCTTGCCTAACTCCAGAACTTATGGAAAACTCAGCTGATTCTTCTCCATAGGTACGGACGCTTGCCCGGGTTCTTAACTAGTATGACTTTAAAAGCCAGATGAATTCCTCAGGCATTCCATTCAGACCGCAATATGCACCACAAGGATTCTCTATCAACAGAGTCAAACGCAGCGCGTAAGTCAATGAAACATGCAGTGGTAGGCTCTTGGAACTTGTAGCGGTGTTCCAGAATTCTATGGAGAGTGAAGATTTGTTCAACACGGCCTTTTCCGCGGCAAAGTTCTCTTGGTTCGGGGGAGTGTGGGTATCACTGACGACTGCGAAGCGATTCAGCAGTATCACTGTAAGCAATTTGGCCGCAATATCAATTAGGCTAATACCCCTGTAATTTTCGCATCTAGATCTTTCATCTATTTTTCGGACCCGGGAATGAAATTGAAGTTTGCCCAATCTTTTGAAAAAACCTCTCTTTCCAAAATGGTGTGGAAGAGAGAGAAAGAATGCAGCCGATCTATCACAGATGGTAAGCAAGCCTTGAGTAATATTGGTGGTATCCCGTCTTCTCCAGGGGCGTTCCTGTTTTACAGAGAAGTGAATGTATTGATGATCTCAGTCGTACTAGGTGGGTCACAATCGATGTCGTAAGTCTCCAAACTGCTTGACATTTGTAGAGAGCTAGCTTGGTTTGATGGTCGGTTGATCAGCCAGTCAAAGTATTCAACCAACATTTGCATGTTTGCTTAGTTCCATGAATAAGTTGGTCTGTGGTGTTGCGCAACAGTGGTTTTGATGTCTGCCTCCTTCCTGCTGCGACACGAATTAGACAGAATAGCTTTTCAAAGTCCGCTACGACGGTTGCAGTCTCCATGCTGTCTGCAATCGCCTTCCAGTGTTATTTACGGTCTCTCTTGGTGGAGCGTGTAGCTTGGTGACGGAGAATACGAAATTCAGGAGAATTGATCAATCGCGCATCTCTTGCCTTTGCGGACAACAGCAGTATACGCTCGAATATCCAGTCTCTCTTGTGGCGAAGAATCTTACCTAACTGCCCCAGCTCCGCTTTTCTGATGGACGTTTTCAGCGTGGACCACTGTGCGTCGATAGTCAAGTCAACAAAGAAAGTTTCGGCTATGTTGGCAGCGGTTGAGTCCAGCAGCACCTGCCTTCTCTGATGTCGCTGCAAGAGCGCGACGTTGAATTTGCCCGGTGAGTAGTCAGGTGGATTTTGAAGCGGGCGCGTACAAGCACATGGTCTTTACCGTTCCTGTTTCCAGTTTCTGCGCCGCGATAGCAACGGCAATCTTTCACCGAAGAGGCCCAGCGAGCACGTACCAAAATATACTCAACCTAGTGTGCCGCTTGACCATCATTTGATTACCACATACGTAGGTGTTTTGTGGAGTGCTGTAAACGAGTGTTGGCCACGACCAGTCGGATAAGGTTAACAAATGTGACTAGGCGTTCACCATTTTCGCAAAGTTGACTAAGGTCGAGCTTTCCCCGAACATGCCGAGTGTGGACCAGTACATGCATTCCAGTCTCCTGTGATGACGAGAATGTCGCGTCTCGGACTGCGATTGACTTCGCCTTGAACTTGATTGTAGAAGTTGTCTTTGACGGGCTCTTTTGCATGTAAAGTTGGAGCATATACATCGATGACAGTCAGGTTAAACGCCTTTCCCCTGAAGCGCGCTATGACAATCCTGGAAGAAATTGGTTACCAGGAGACCATTATCGTTGTTGGCCCAGCCGCTCACGGCGATTACGACCCCGTGCAAACCGGACTTGACAGTTGGGCCACTATGGTATAACCGGTAGGTTGCGCTGCTATGTGATACGTTGATTCGTTTTGTGCCACAGTTAGGCGAACGGACTTCGAACAAACATGTTTACCTTGTAGTCGTGCAGTGATCGCATCGTGATACACTGGTTTCCTGTACCCAGCAATGTCCCAACATTGCAGCAGGCTACATGGATGCTGGATCTGGTGCATAGATGGTTGAGGTTCCCAGCTTGCTCATTTGTCACCCCCAGCCACCGGGAGAGTACAGGGCGCGTCGCTTCCCCGGAACGCCGTAGCATGAACGCGATATACCGTTGAAAGACGATCCATGAAGAAACTTGTGAATGAGGTACCAAGTGACGTCCCCAGCGTTGATCGCCTTTTGTTTAAGGGTGCACTCCTAACCCTTGCACAACCAAGTGCGACCTGCAGGGTAAGAGGGTAGAATGGTTGGTAGCCGGTGACCGTCAGAACGGTTGATACGTCTTTCGGATGACCCAGCTTCAGTCCAGGATCCAAACGTGTCCGTGAGGTAGCAGTACTCAGAGTTTGTCCTACTCGTAAGAGTAGGCAAGTAGCGATGGCCTTATTTGGTGGTGGGCCACATTCGTACTCGTTGCGATGCTGTCAGCAGACACTTAGGGCATTTGAACGGGATATCGGTTGCCAGCCGAAAACCCCACCACATCCTCTAGCATCGCAGCTGATCGTCCATGACCGATTATTCGGTGAGGTAGCCCCACCTATTCACGGTCAATCACCAAGGTGTTTGTTCTCCTATCCGCGACCTGGAGACGCGCTCGGTAGCACTCAGCTGTACTATCCGTAGACAGTTCATTGATTACGGACCGGGACGCTGTGTTTCGAGCATGAAGAGTAGTAGACGAAGAATCTATGGTGAAAGGCGGAAATTTCGTAGAGTGACGTAACCAACGCTACTCGGTTTTGTTTGAAGGTGTACTCCCCAAACATATACAACTAAGTGTAGGAATTTTAAAGAAAACAGGTTTATGCGGTGATACTGTTTATGATAACCGACAAAGAGCACTGGACAGCTGTTTTCTCCTGTTTTGGTCTCGTCAACAGCGGATACCTTTGGTGTCCCTGTCAGGGATCAATCAACTTAGGCGGTGAGATTTTGGGTTAGCCCATTCAGGTTTTTCGCAGGCACCAGGTACTGTTGATCTTGGGTGTGGGTTTCATTCCTTGAGAGATCGCTACGTACCCACAAGGCAAATGCATTTAAATGCGTTGGAAATGTTTGTGATACGGTCATGAACAGTGCCTGGAGCCTGTTAAAAACCCAAGGGGCTAGTCCAAACATTCATGTAAAACAGATTTATGTTTTTCCGGGTCAAAAATGACCAGACTTCGGTCGGTAACGTGATACAGTTGAGTTTTTTCGTGTACCGGTTTTGGTTGCTGTCATTTGTATAAAAGAGCAGAATGAAGATTGGAATGTTGAAAGCAAATTCAAGCGGAAGAGAATTCGTATAGTGGTGTTAACAGAGTGGATACACGAGCGCCACTGTTTGCGAAATCCAGCCATATCACTGTCTCTAACAATAGGTGACCATGATCTCGGGGTCCTCAGCCAGGAAGCCTAACGGGACCTATGCGAATCTCCTGGTTAGGGTTTTCATACCCTCATGCCAGGTCCTAGTTTGACCACCCTTGATGTTTTTCCCAACCGCTACCATCCTCGGCACACATTGCTCGCCGTGGCAGCCTATCTGGTGACATGCGTAGCACATGTCCTAACCAGCGTAATCTATGGAGGTCAACTACTTTCTCTAATGGACGATCGCGATTACCTAAAACTCTACGCCTAATCTCAACATTGCTCGTCCGGTTTCCCCACCAAACTCGTGCAATGCTGCGCAGATAGCGGTATTCAAACACCGACAGTCTGTTTTTATCCTGTTTTCTTATTGGCCAAGTCTCTGAACCGATTTTACCTAATCGCTCTGTGCATTTCTTTGTCTCGTTTCCACATCATCTTTTGACCTCCACGCAGTTTCTTCCAACCTGGGACCGCAATTGCGAATAAGGTGCGATGCTGTAGACGATGATTGGGCATGCGCAATACGTGACCTGACAAGCGAAGCCGACTAATGTGAATTCGATGAGACAACGAATTATCCATCGAATTGTTACCAAATAAACGACGCCTCACCTCCGAGTTGCTTACACGCTCACTCCAACCAACTGGTACCAAACTAGGTAAACATCTGCAGTCGAATACGTCAAGACGAATATCTTCCACGCGCAAATTTAAGATCTCGCAGCCATAAAGCGGAACTGACCGCACACCGGCGCATACACGACCTTTCAGTCTTAACGAAATATTGAGTCTGCACCAAAGGTGTTCCAGTCCTGTGTAAGCTGCTGGAGCCTTGGAAATACGGGCAGTTACTTCAGTGCTTATGCTACCGTCATTTAAAACGCAGCTACCTAAGTAGATGAAACATTCCACTACAGTTAATTCTTGAGCACCAAGTATCAGCGCTGGGATAGACAACTGGGTGTTGTCTACAGTCTTGCAGCATCGCTTTGCACTTCAGAGGTGCAAAGTGCATATCAAATGAAGTTACAGAACTTGAAAGTCTGTCAAGAACGCTTTGCGCATCCTCCATACATTCGAACAGGCGAACGATGTCGTCAGCGCATACATACCGACGCTTGGAAAGCTGGGACTCACGAGAATGCGCCTTGACGTAGTGTGGCTTGTGCACCTGTCTGACCCAACAAGCTACACAGGATGGCTTTTATCAAGCCAGGAGATCTTATCATTCCTGGAAGGTCAATGAGTAGAGGTCAGACGAAGTTCAGCCACCTGGTCCTCCAGGTTGGGGGTTGAACTGGAATTTGCGTTTCAGTCGGTAAAAAATGGTGGAGGAATAATCAATTCAAATAAATAGGCCCCCACTTCGCTTCACCCGCTGCCTTGCGGTTAGGTTCTTGTTAGAACTTGAGGCTTTGAACGAGAACCCTAATCGTTTTCCTGCTTAGTGGCTGGACACTCGAGCAGTACCCATCCATCAAACCCCAATGCAAACACAAAATATAGATAATTCCAGACCGCATCGGTCGTCGCGCAAGATAATCAGGACTGCGCTGTCCACCGCATCGAGCGGAGTGGGTAGTGATAAGTGGGCTATTGCTCAGATATTCCAACCTTTGTTTAATTTTGTCTTCAGTACCCAGCCCTCTCCATTTTCCCCTCCTTCCGATCTGTCCCCCAAGCAACTTAGATGTCGCTCGTCAAAGGTCGTTGTCTGTACTGTAAGGACTGTAAGTAATGTATCTCGAAACGAATTCCACATTCTAAAGCCTCGTCAATCACTGAATCAGGGGGCCTTCAACGTGAGGACCCTGATGCAGGTAGGTCAACAAGCTTGTCTGGCGCGTACAACGAAATCCTTGGGGATCGATATTTGCTGCGCGTCGGAGACTCGTATCCAGGATCCTACTACTAGAAGCCATTTGAGCGCACCAGATTTGCCTTCGAGATATGTTCTTCGCACATTAGGCGACGAATCTCGATCAGTGGGTCAGCGCGGGGTAGGTAATGTAATCAGCAACAGGGCGGAGTCCTCTCTTATGGATTGGAGCCCCGTCAACAGTCGTTTATATGCAGTGCGTCTCCAGTGTCCGGAAGGGAAGCAACACCAAAAGGTGTTTGTTGATCGTATTAGCATATACACCGAGCAACTGCAGTTCTGACACCCAAAAGGACTCCTTTTACGATGACTTCACGGATCTGATTCGGATGATTCGAAGCTCCGACATAGTTGTACTTGCAGGTGACTTCAACGCGCAGATTGGAAAACTGGGCGCATCAGAAGCCTGCCTAGGCGGCAGTTGTGCTTTGCCCAGCCGATGAACAGATACCGGCGATCGACTGCTTTAGTTCTGCACAGACTATCATCTGTTCCTATCTAGCACCAACTTCCGACACAGCTGTCGACGGACGGTAACGTGGCGCTCCAGTTCAACGGGTACGTTAACTCAAATCGACCACATAGCAGTAAGTTACCGTTGGTGTGGCACAATACAAAATTGCAGGTTCTATTGGACTACCTTCGTTAAATCTGATCACGTATCCGTTTTGATGCAGTTTACTCTTCGGTTGACTGATCGACGACAAAGCCAGCAAATTCGGATAGATCATAATCGACTATCTGTTCCAGCCGTTCGTGCACGCTGAATCAGAACCAGTGCGTGAGCTAAGCGCGCCTCAACGTGATTTAAATGAGCAGGGGGATCAGATTAGGCGAGCAATGTATTCCGCTGCCAATGTTGCTTGTAGGACTGAGCCTAAAGCCCAACGGAGGCCTTGGATATCTGAGTCTGTATCACTGATGGATCAAAAACGACAGATTCCGACCTATCAGGATCAAAACAAAGGTAGGTGGCATCTACAATGCCAGCTCACGAAGAGCCTCAAGAAGGATAGTGAGAACTGGTGGGCAACAATAGCTAGTGAAATGAAAGTAGAGGCTGCATCAGGGGATAGTCAGACTGTTCCGACTGATACGCAATACGGGAGGTCGGCGAAATCCAATTGGTGAAACAGTCTGTGATAAGAGAGGACAAGCTATTCACAATAGGGATCAACGGCTCGATCGGTGGGCAGAATACTTCAACGAACAGTTCAGTCGGCCTAGTGCTAACCAGGCTGCTTCATCTACAACTGAAGCTCTGTAGGCAGTGTCATGTGATCCTCCAGCAGAAGCGGAAGTTCGGCCTTGCACTCAAGCTCTGAAGCGAGGAAAGGCAGCGGGACCTGACGAGCTCCCTCCCACTCTTTTCAAGATGGGGGGTGATAACCTCATAAGCTCTATGACTACCCTACTGCGCAAAAATTGGATGCAAGAACACGTTCCTTCATCTTGAGGAGAATCACTGATCGTTCCCATTTTCAAGAGAGGATATTGCAACGACTGTGAAAACCACCGCGGGAATAGTTTGATCCCGGTTGTCAACAAAGTTCGATTATACTTCGACGTCTTACGCCTTTAAGAGAGACCAATATCCGTGAACAGCAAGCCGGATTCCGACCTGGCCGTGGATATATTGAGCAAATTTTTACGTTGCGTCAGATCCTTGAGCTGCGTCACACCCACCGTCAGCCAACGATTGCAGTGTTCCTCGACCTTAAAGGAGCCTTGAACTCAGTTGGCCGTGAAGCTCTGATGGGTTTCCTT